TTATAATCAATGTAATGAAACAAATTATATGAATTGTTGAATATGAAACTGATGATGTGCCCTGTAAAGTTTCACTCAATCCACAATAAAAACCTTAAATTAAAAATAAAAAATAAAAAGTAAAGTTAACATTTGGAAAACAGTTTAATGTTAAGCAGATATCAGACAAATTTGCTATTTGGATTATAACCTTTCTTTGTCAAAAATAGCTAAAGCTTGAAAGACAAATCTATCTAGGACTTTTTTAACTTTTGAGTACTGATATCTTATATTTCCAAATAAGAGTAAGCTATTTTAACACTTCTTGTTGTTGCTAAGTGCTGTTAAGTCAGTTCTGACTCCCATCAACCCTGTTGTATAGGGTTTCCAAGGAGTGATGGGGGCTGACCTTGTGGCTAGCAGTCCAGTGCTTATCCTACAGAACCACACCAGGACTCCAATTTTAACACTACATGATATAATACTGTAAGATGCTAAACTCCAAACACAGAACAGAGCACAACAAAATTGAACAATTAACTAGCTATGTAATTTAGGACAAGTTACTTAACTTCTTCACACTTGATTTCCTTATCTTTCAAATGGAACTGAATTAGCATACTTCATAAGTTGTTATGAGGATGAAATGAATTCATTTACGCAGAGCTCTTTAGAGAACACAATATAAGTGCTCACTATCATCATTATTATTAATTGAAACTAATAGAATGTTCTAATGACAAAAACAAACAAAAACTATTCACTTAGTAAATCAAACTAAATGATAATTTATATATTATATAAAAAAATTATTAAACAACATTCATTTTAATATCACAAATTATTACATAAACTAAATGAAAAAACTTATTTTTCTAGAGTCATCCAACAAAACACTGTGCTCAAAATCTTTTGATTTTAAAATCCATTAGGACTTGGTGGCAGATGTGAAATTTAAGCCCCACTTTTCATTAATAATGTGTTAATTCTAATTAATTGCTCGTTCCTCCCTTCAACATTGTAAATGTTTATTTTCAGAATAAGTTCAGCACTCTCTCTCTCTAGAGAGAGAGAGAGAGAGACAGACAGACAGACAGACAGACATCTTCTGAATATACATTATTAACAAATAAGTTCATAAAATCTAATTTTAAAATCCACTATAAACGAACAACAACAAAAAAGGAAGTACCTGAGATTCAAGTGGAATGAAGGAAATATTTATTTCTTTACATCTTCTTACTGACTTGGAGCAAGAAGCCTTAATCTTGTTAAAAAGACTATCAGGGCAAACTGAGAGGGAGAAAATGAAAATTTGAAGCATTTAACTCTTGTGTAAAATGTTATTCTTCTGAACAAATCATTTCACCATCTAAGACTACATATGCACACACACATAGACATACAGTACTTTTACACAAATAATGCACATTTTATGCTTTCGTGCCAGTCATGCTCTCCCCACAAGCAGACAAAAATGATCATAGTGTGTTTAGAAAATACTGTTGGGGAAATAAGCAAGGGTGCAGGTAGAAAATATCCGGATAGCACATGCGTTGTTGTTGGTGGTGGTGGTGGGTTGTGTACCATGGAGTCGATTCTGACTCAGCGGTCCTGCATAGGGTTTGTGAGGTTGTAAATCTTTATAGGAGCAGAAAGTTCATCTTTCTCTTATGGAGCAGCTGGTAGATTCGAACTGTTGACCTTGCAGTTTGCAGTCCAACCAGGGCTCCTTAGCACAAGTGTTACTTGTGTAAAAACAGTGCATGTTTGTGTATTTACTAACTTTCACAGAGTAATTTATTATGACAGAGATAAGTACTGTTCTTCACTTTAGAGAACAAATGTATTCTAGTCATGAGAGCTATAACAGAAATTTCATTTTTCCCATTCACATTAAACCACAAAGGTATTTCCTTAGGGATTTGCTAATAGAGCAGGTTAAAACTGCTAACAAGGAAAATCAGATTCAAACTCATTATTAAACTTTTTCAGCACTTTTACAGAACTTCTTAGGAATTTATACTTTATGAAATCAGCTAAACTACAAAAAGGGTGCAGCCAAACCATACAGAGGTAATTCTTACCCGGACTTCTCTAACGTCACAAAATTCTAAGACTCTAAACCTGGAAGTTCTAGAACTCAGAATCTTTCTTTTCTTCTTTTTTTTAAATACCTCTAGTTGGAATATCAAGGAGCTCTAGTAGTGTAGTGGTTACGAATCGGGCTGTGAATCTTAAGGTCAGCAGTTCGAAACTACCAGCTGTTCCATATGAGAAAGATGAGGCTTTCTGCTCCTGTAAAGGTTTACAGCCTCAGAAACCCTGTGCAGGGTCGCTATGGGTCGGAACCGACTCCACGGTACTTAACAGCAGCAGTAGCAGTTGGAATATCAACCAAACTACTAGTGTTTTTTGCAAGGTCAGCAGTTCAAATTCACCATCTGCTCCTCGGAAACACTATATAGGGTGGCTATGAGTCAGAACCAACTTGGGCACTTAACAATACCACTTGTGTTTTTAACATGATGTTCTTTAGTCTCAAGATTTCTAAAGTCAGAAGAGAGTTAAATGTTACCAATTCCATAAACATGAAGTTCTATATAATACAGATACTTAAGTGACAAATACTTCTATGTGGCATTTTTTTAAATGCAAATTATTATTAGGTATGAAATAAGTGGTGGTGGTTGTGGTTATTTGCCGTGGAGTCGGTTCCAATACATAGCGACCCTGGTACAGGGTTTCTGAGGCTGTAAATCTTTACAGGAGCAGAAAGCCTCATCTTTCTCCCACGAAACAGCTGGTAGTTTCAAACTGCTAACCTTGTGATTCGCAGCCCGATTCGTAACCATTACGCTACCAGAGCTTCTTGAAATAAGTAGTAATAATCCAAAAATGTACTTCCTAAAGTCAGGGTACCTACAGTAACAAAGAATAAGACTTTATTGTGATGGTGGGGTTAATGCTCTGGACTGCAAAGTTGTTTGAACCACAAGGTTGGTGGTTCAAGCTCCCCAGCTGCTCCTCGGAAACCCTATACAGGGTCACTAAGGGTTGGAACTGGCTCAACAGCTCTTAAAAACATTATGTGTCTCTAGACTTCGCTGTGATTCTTTAGCTGTTTTCTATTTGAATGTATGTCACAGTAGGAGAAATGTGGTATATTTTCTCAGTACTTGCTAAAAAGATATGGATATTTCTCAGTCTCCTTCCAAAAGGTCCTATTATATAATCAAATCCCCAACTGAAACCTTAATTAAAAAAAAAAAAATTCTTCCTGTCATCAACATAGTTATTGAGGGATAGCTCTCCACACTGCTGTCTCCACTAACTTTATCCTCCCAAAATAACAGCAGCAAAACTGATGATCAAATTAGTTTCGATTTCAAGCTAGTTTAGAACGGTTTCTTTTAGTGTTTTATTCCCTTACTACAGTTACAAACATATACAAATAATTACCACAAATAAATAGAAAATTCTTAATATTTTAATAGTACTATAAAAATTACCTAAGTAAATACTTCCTAATAGTAGGATTTCATACAAAGAAACAATAAGTTTAATAGAAACTACTTACAGTCAGTGAAGTATATATATGCAGCTTTATATCTGCTCTCCGACTTGTTTGCAAAATCACGTAAAAAGCAATCTACAGACTTAAAAAGGGTCAGATGTTAATACACATTTCTTAAATACTAATTTAAATATGCTGACTTTTTTTAAATAACTAAGATTATTTTATCTCAATAATAAAGCAAAACCTTACTGGCTAGAAATTTATTCAATTTATAGACTAATCCTTTATTTTAGGATACCATATTCTCTACCCAGTGATAGTTAGGCAGTATGTCTGACAGTAGGGATTTAAAAAAAAAAAAAATGCACCACACATGCATTTTTTAAAATATTATTATTATTATTATTCTACACTTTGGGATGAATTAAAAGTTTTCCTACATCAATGAGCAGTCATCTAAGAATGCAGATCTCTCCCTGTCCAGAGGACAGAAGAGTGATGAAAACTGAAGACATTTGCAAACAATTAGTTCAATGGACTCATGGACCGCATGAACATCAGTCTCCACGATTCCAAGACCAGAAGAACTAGATGGTGTCCAATTACCACTACCAACTGCTCTGAAAGGGATCGCATTCAAAGATTCTGGATTGAGTGAGAGAAAATGTGGAACAAAACTCAAAATCATAAAAAGACCAGGCTTACTGGTCAGATAGAGCCTGGTAGAACCCTGAGAGTATGGCCCTTGGTCACCAATCAGATCAGGCACTGAACTCACCTTTATGGCTCAATTTTCAGCCAAGATATAGATAGGTATACAAAGGTGACAACATCATTAGTGAGGTATGCACACCACAGAATGAATGGTCAACCACTCAAATCAAAAGAGTAGCATTTACCCAAGGAAAAAGTTCAGAAGGGTTGGGAAAGAAAGAGGAAGGGAAACAAACACAGGGAGGCAGTGGAATAAATGATGTTACAATGAGGGGATTGTAATCACTGAGATGAAATAAGGCATATGATGTGGTGAAAGTAAAACTGATGATCTGTTTTCTAAACCTTCACTACAAAGTTAAAAAAAAGAAAACACTAATTAAAATGGTAGCAAAATATAGAATTCATAAGAACAAAGGTGTTCTTGAATGAGAAAAAGTTTTTCTACATCAACTAACATGAAATATTAAAATTCAGAGAAAAAAAATCCAAATGTACTCCCCAAAGTTATCCAACATTCTAGATGGAAAATAAACAAATTAATCCTCTTTTTAAGTTGCTACAGAAGTAACATTTCATTTCTTTTAACCCTGTCTTATTGAGTATATCAGCAATTAAAAATCCAATTAGAAACTAAAGTATTAAAGCCTGTTATAATTATTTCACAAATTTAGAAATCGGTATATATTATGTAAATTGGGACTACCATCCAATTGTCTAATTGCCATTCTTAATGGAAATAATTAGTCTGAAGGACTAATGGATCAAAAGAACTTCGGCCTCCACTACCCTGAAACCAGAACAACTAGATGGTACCCACCTACCACTGCTGACTGAACATACTGGGATCAAAACAGAAGGTCCTGGAGAGAGTGGGTGAAAAATATGAACCAAAACTCAAAATCATTACAAAAATCAAATGGATTGGTCTGACAGAGACTGCTGGAATGCCTCAGACTAGAGCCCTTAGATATCCTTCAAGCCTGGAACTAAACTCACCCCCATGGCTCAACAACATGCCTATAAAATGAATGAAACACCAGAGAGAAATGCACTCCTTAGAACAATGAATCACACTGGACCAAAAGGGCAATATTTGCCCAACAACAAAACTAAGACGGCAGGAAGGGGCAGTAAAGGATGAAAGAAATGGCGAAGAAAGGGAGGAACTGTGGAGAGTGCTATTATATTGTGGGGATTGTAATCAACGTCATAAAACAAAATGTGTACTAATTTGTTCTGTAAACTTTAACCACACAAACATCAACTAAGAGACTGAACTAATGCTAACTTACAAGGGCTTAATTTTTGGCTTTTATGAATAGTTTTAGGATTCAGCTCTCTCTAACAAAACAGGTTTGTTGTTAAGTGCTGCTGAGTCGGTTTCAACTCATAGAGAACCTGTACAGGGTTTTCAAGGAACGGCTGGTGAGTTTGAACCACAAACCTTGCAGTTAGTATGCCAGTGCTTATCCTACAGAATCACAAACAAGTTAAAATGAGTATTAGTTTCCTCTTCCTACTTTCATTTGGTTTATTATTATTTCTAATACACAAATTTATTGGTTATTTCAGAGTCCTGGTGTAGCATCACAGGATGAGCACTCAGCCGCAATGTTGGGCTGGACTGCAAGTTGGTGGTTCAAACTCACCAGCCGCTCCTTGGCAACACTATACAGGATTGCTAAGAGTCAGAACTGACTAAACAGCACTTAACAGTAACAACAAAAAATTGGTTATTACTATTTCTATAACTTAATAAATAAAGATTGTTTCTTAATTCCTTATCCTTCTTGAACACAGTGAATCTGTTTAAGACATCATTCTGAGTAGTTTCTAAGAAAGTACTTTATAGATTATGATATAAAATATGCTCATTTTTCACTGCTCTCTAGTTTGTCATATGCATTTTGATTCTTCTTTGATGCAAGGTTTATCTAGGGATATGTTACTTAATTTCCAAGTAGTTAGGCTTGTTTAAGTCATTTGAAAAATAAATTATTTATAATTTTACTGGATTATGAACAATGAATGTGTCTAGTTAAATCTTCACTTTTGGAATTTATCAAGATTCTTTGTTTCTAAGTACACTGTTTGGTAAAAGTTTCATGGAAATGTAAAAAAATGTACATTCTCTCTATTAACAGTCCCTGACTCATGATGATGTTCTGTTCTAACAACTCCATCGTAAGTTGGTTCTGATATACGTCAAATACCTTTTTTTCCTCATTATTACTGTCTTCTACGCCTCCCCTCATGATTATTGCTTTGTATAAATCTGATTTTTGAACATCTGCAGGTGAACATCTGCAAATGATAACATCAGCAAATTGCATGCTAAAAATACTGTATGTAGTACATATATTTACTAACAATAAGATGTATAAAAAATAAAAAAAAACCACCAGACAGTCATAAACATGGTTTGTCCTAACTCAAATCATTCTAAGAGAGTACCAGTATACATGAACTAGCTACTATTATATTTCTTGAATCAAAAATAGTAATTATCTAAGTTCTTTGTCTTTACTTAATTTTGGTCCACAAAATCTGTTGAAAGCGATATAAAAGTTTTGTCTATTTTATTAGTTGCTATGTGCTTTGGTACATATAAATTTATTAATGCTGTATCTTCTTAAATTTGCCATTTACAATGTCATAATATCCCTCATCATCTTGTTTTGGGCTTCAAAAGTTGAATTCTACCTTGTCTACTACTAATATATGCAATCGTGGTGAAATACTGGGTTATATATTAGGCAAAGGATAAATTTGAATTAATGGAAGCCTAAATTAGTGACCTTAAAGATAAATCTTTCAATACTAGTAAATTAGAAGAACAATCTGGAAAAGAATAAAAAAATCCAAAGTAATTCTGAGATTTATGTGAGATACCATGTAGAGTAATTTACATGTGATCAGAATTTCAGAATAGGAAAAGACAATAAAAAGCATGGATAAATTTGTTTAAGAGTTGCTGAAAGAAAACTTGTCCTAAAATCATGTAAAATGAGAAGACAATCATTCAAGAAGCTGAACAAACACCAAACAGGTAGAGCTCAAAAGAAAATCACCAAGACCTATCATGATCAAATCTTCCAAAACTAAAGACAGCAAAAAATTCCTGAGAGCAGCTCAAGAAAAAGGAAACACTACCTACAAAGACCCAATAAGACTAACCACTGATTTTTCAGCAAAAATATGCAGGCAAGAAGGCACTGGGATAACATATACAAAATTCTGATTGAAAAAACCTGCCAACTAAGAATTATATACCCAGCAATACGATCCTTCAAATACAATGGCAAAATTAGGATATTTTCAGATAAGCAGAAAGTAAAGGAATTTGTAATAACCAGGCCAACTTTACAAAAAAAATACTAAAGGGTGTTCTTTAGACTGAGAACCAACACCAGCAGACATCAACCTGAAATTAACATACATGACAACACCACCCAGAACTTAATCCAGATATAGAAATATCCGAAGTAAAACAAACATATCCAACTGAAAACAAAGAACCAGAGATATCAATTTATAATAAAGTCACTACAAAGCAAAGAGGGAATAGTGTATCTACAGAACTTTCAAGTGACAAGGAAATCAAGTAGATTTCAAGACAAAACAGACTGTTTTAAATGGCAAAAAAAGTTAATAAATTACAGAGTTACCTCAAAGAAAATTAATATACCTGTACATTAAAATAAAAAGAGAGGAAAATTAGAAAGCTTTAGTAAACATTAAAACAACAGTAATGAAGAAAATGAACAAAGAAAGAAACCAGCAGCATCACAAAAAACACACAGCAAAATGACAGTAATCAATTCATACCTATTGATAATTATACAATGTAAATGGATTAAATGCACCAGTCAAGAGACAGAGAAAAGCAGAATAGGTACAAACTTTGGTACATACACACTATAGATTACTATGCAGCACTGAAGAATAGACGAATCTGTGAAACATCTCATAACATGGATGAACCTGGAGGACATTATGCTGAGCGAAATTAGTCAATCAAAAAAGGACAAATATTATATGAGACCATTGTTGTAAAAAGTAAGAAAAGGTTTTATTAATAAGAGATACTTTGCATGATGGGTATCAGGGGAGGAGGGAAGGGGAAATTACTCACTGGGTAGAAGGTTAATTTGGGTCACGGGAAAGGCAATATACAAGAAGGAGGTTAGCATAGGAAAGACGAAGGTAGTGGAAGACACAGGGAGGAGTACAGAGTTGAAGTGAACAGAGGTAAAACTGTTAACTGCTGGTATATGGAAGGGATTAAAATCATTGTAATAAAGTGTATGATTGTTCAATATGGAACTGATCATCTGTTCTGTTAACCATCACTCAATTTACAATATAAAGTTTTTTTAAAAAAATGGTATGTGTAACTAACTGTAGGATCAGCACTGGACCATGAACCACAAAATCAGTTCAAACCTACCAGCTGCTCCTCAGAAACCCTATACAGGGTCGCAATGAGTTGGAACTGACTTGATGGCACTTAACAACAACAACATGCATGCTAAAGGAAAGTCATTAAGATAAATAAAAAATTAATCCAAAACTATTAACTTTTTCATCTCCCCGAAATTACGATTCAATAGGAACTGCATGAATAAAGAATTACTCAAAGAAATGCTATCATTTTACACTATTAAATTCTGCTTTCACATATAGAAGGAGGAGGATTGTAGTCACATATAAACTCTCTTTGGGAGAAGTACAAATAAAATAATCTTCTAACCCAGAAACATCTTCCCTAAACAAACTAATTTATGACAATATTTTTTTAATAAAAGATATTGCATTGCTTTACTTTTCCTATTAGAAAAGCATGGCAGTGGTGAAAAAAACTAAAGAATGTAGTTCTTAAAGATTCAAATTACTCACCTTTGATGTTGGAGAGATAAAATAAAGAGCTTTCATTTGTCTGACAGGTTCACGATTCTTATATATATTCTCCACCACTAACAACAAAAGAAGTCATATTTACAACCACATATGTTTACACTTGAAATAATTTTTAAATAAGCTTTTCTGACTGTTTCATTTATAACAGTAGAGAAATGCATCCACATATACTGGGCTTATCATTCTCTTTGTTTTCACTGGATAAATAAACCTCTCTGAAAATGTATCTAGAACATCATGAGAAAATAGATTTAGCTCTTATCCCTGGTCAGCCAGGTCTACCAGCCTAAGCAATTGAAAAACCATGAAGAAAAAAACAAGTAAATTAAAAATGAAAATGCCTTTCTCTTCAAACTGTATTAGTAAAAACAAAAGCAAACCATTGGCATTGAATGGACTCTGACTCCTAACAACCCTTAGGACACAGTAGAACTGGTCAATGGTTTCCAAGGCTCAGATCTTTACAGTGGGGTTCTGATACAGTGCTGTATGGTAAGCACTGGACTAAAGATCTATCTGAACCACAAGGTGGGTGTTTAAACCCACCAGCTGCTTCTCAGAAACCCTACATAGGGTAGATATGAGCTGAAACCGACTCAACAGTACTTAGCAACAACAATCTTTACAGCAGCAAACAGCCACATTTTTCTCCCCTGGAGCAGCTGGTGAGTTAGAACTGTCAACCTTTTTGTTAGCTTAATCTTCGAGTCAACAGGCTCCTCCTATTCTATTTATGTTGTTGTTGTTAAGTACCACCAGTCTATTCCAACTCATAGCAATCCTGTACAGGGTTTCAGAGGAAATAGCAAATATCAGATATCAGGTGATATCAGATATCAGGTGAAACATTTTACATGGATTATTTGATCAAATCTCATAATATCACTAAGTAGTTTATGATTGTACACACTGGTACTTAAAGAAGTTAAGCAACTTACCCAACATCACATAGCTAGAAAGCAGAACAGGCAGGACTCAAATCCTGATCTGTCTGGGTCCGGAGCCCAAGTTTTTAACTACTATTGTTGTTAATTGCCATCGACTCACTTAGTCACTTCCAACTCATAGGGACCCTGTATAGTGTTTCCAGGAAGCAGATGGTGGGTTTGAACTTTTGACCTTGTAGTCCACAGTCCAGTGCTGATCCTACAGCGTCTCTACTATAATAATCTTCAAATAAATTGCCAGTTAACTCCTTTTAAAATCACACATTAATATTAATAAGTATATTTAACAATAAAATGTCACTAGAATTTAGTCAATTATGTTTATTGAAATTATGAAATTTATAAACTAATCTAATATAAAACAAACTCTAAATTGTCAAAGGAACTATTTGAAGCCATGTATTTCTGTTTTCAAAAAACTGTGAAATGCATGTGTGTGTGGTGCTGTAGAATACGCACTAGATTGCTAACCACATAGTCAAACCCACCAGCCGATCCTTGGAAACCCTATACAGGATGGCTATGAATAGAAACCAACTCAACAGCACTTAACAATAATATGGTGAGCTTGAACCACCGACCTTGTGGTTCAAATTATCTTGCAATCTAGAGCATTAATCCATAGTGCCACACCAGAAGGCATACATATATATTTTGTTGTTCTTGGTGTTAAGTGCCATCGAGTCGATTCCGATCCATAGCGATCCTGTATAGGGTTTCCGAGGAGCAGCTGGTGAGCTTGAACCACTGACCTTGCAGTTCAAACGGCTTTGCAGTCTGGCACATTAACCCACAGTGCCACACCAGGATGGATTTATATATATACGCACATACACACAAAACAATATCATTTTTTATGTAAAGCTACTATTTTCAAAATAATCTATTTTATTTTGCTAAAAATACAAACTACATATTTTTAAAAAAATAATTTAAAGTATCATTCTACAAACTAAGAGTATTGTATTTCAAGGTTCACATTGGCAAGGCCTACAAACAACAATCTGACATACTGAAAAAAAACGAACTTTGAACTTCTCTTTTAAATATGGCAATTTATTTTTTCATTCCTAAATTTATACTAGTAATGTATAGACTTATCATAGCTGCTATTAGATATGATAAGAATTAAGATCCCCTAGGAAATATTTACCTTTATCTCCAGTCCCACAATTATAATCTTACTTTTAAAAGATTAAAGTTCAGTCTGAGCTAGCTTAGTTCCATTGATTAATACTCAAAATGAAGTATTTTTCCGTCTTTTTAGATGCTGCAAAATAAGCACAGTACTACTAACTGCAAAGTCAGCAGTTCAAACCCATCAGAGAAAGATGAGGTCTTCTGCTCCAGTAAAGATTTAAAACCTCAGAAACCCTATACAGGGTCACTATGAACCAGACTCGACTAGGTGGCACTGAGTTTGGGTTTTTTTGTTAGGCTACAAATACTACTCAATTTGGTGAATAATGCTAAAATACTTGAAAATACTGTGATATGATTTAGAACAGATTCTAAAAAATTCTGAAATGTCTGATTCCTCAATTCACTGAAAAGTACATACGTATCAAATATCTATTAAATAATTTTTGAAAAAGAAAGGTTTCAGTATTCCTATAATAATGATAAAGGGCTAATCTAATTCCCCATTATTTTAAAGGTTTTTACTTGACTTTATTATCCACTGGAATAGCAATCTAACTGCATTTTTCCCTTGTCTATTTTTTTAATGTTCAAGACACTACTGAATATTTTCATAAATGAGACCTCAATGTCGTCAGAGTCTAATCACTAAGCCCTCCAATGCCAAGTCTAATAGAGGCATTCTCAGGCAAGTTAATCTAAAACTCAAAAGGACTATGACAAGTACAGGTTAGTAGCTATTACTATGATTAAATCATGACAGTGACTTTGGATGATACTGAGTTCTCAGCAATGTGCTCCACAGGATATAGTTCTAAAAATGCTTTCCAAAAAAAAAAAAAAAGCTTCCTATGGTCAAATAAATTTAGAAAACTGAATACTATCTATCCCCTTATCACATATGTTGCTATTGTTAAGTGCCATGGAGTTATTTCTGATTCACAGAGACCATATAAGGTTTCCAAGGAGTAGCTACCTGGTGGGTTTGCAGTTAGTTGTTGTTGTTGTTAGGTGCCGCTGAGTCAGTACCGACTCATAGCGACCTTATGCACAGCAAAACGAAACACTGCCCAATCCTGGGCCAACCTAACTACTGTTGCCACGCTTGAGTCCATTGATGCTGCCACTTAGCCAATCCATCTCTTTGGGGGTCTTCCTCGTTTTCTCTGTCCCTCCACCTTAACAAACATGATGTCCTTCTCCAGTGACTGGTCCCTTCTAACAATATGCCCAAAGCAGGAGAGATGAAGTTTGGCCACCTTGGCCTCCAAGGAGCACTCTGGCTGCCCTTCTTCCAAAATGGATCTATTGGTTCTTTTGGCACCCCATGGCACTTTCAATATTCTCCTCCAACACCATAACTCAAAAGCATCAATTCTTCTACAGTGTTCCTTATTCACTGTCCAGCTTTCGCATCCAAATGAGGTTACTGAAAATACCATAACTTGGGTCAGGCGACCTTAGTCCTCAAGCTGACATCTTTGCTCTTCAACACTTTAAAGAGTCTTGTGCAGCAGATCTGCCTAATGCAATACGTCGTCTGATTTCTAGACTGCTGCTTCCATGACTGTTGATAGTTGACCCAAGAAGAATGAAGTCCTTGACAACTTCAATCTTTTCTCCATTGATAAGAATGTTGTTTACTGGTCCAGTGGTGAAGATTTTTGTTTTCTTTATATTGAGATGTAATCCATACCGAAGGCTGTGCTTTTTAATCTTCATCAGTAAATGTTTTAAGTCCCCTTCACTTTCAGCAAGCAAGGATGTATCATGCATATCACAGGTTAATAAGTCTTCCTCCAATCCTGATGTCACGTTTTTCTTCGTAGAACCCAGTATCTCAGATTATTTGCTCAGTATACAGGTTGAATAAGTATGGTGAAAGAATACAACCTTGTCGCACACCTTTCTTAATTTTAAACCAGTGTTCCCATGTTCTATTCGAACAATTGCCTCTTGGTCCATGTACAGATTCCTCATGAGCACAATTAAGTGTTCCTGAATACTCATACTTCATATGTTGTCCATGGCTTGTCATGATCCACACAAACGAAAGCCTTTGTGTAGTCAATAAAGCACAGGTAAACATCTTTCTGATATTCTCTCCTTTCAGCCAAGATCCATCTGACATCAGCAATGATATCCCTTTTTCCATGGCCTCTTCTGAATCCGGCTTAAACCTCTGGAAGTTCTCTGTCAATGTATGCTTGCAGCCGTTTCTGTATTACTTTTAGTAAAACTTTACTCGCATGGGATATCAGAGAGATTATCCGATGATTTCTGCATTCCGTTGGGTCACCTCTCTTAGGAAAGGGCACATAGTTGTCGGCCAGATAGTTGTCTTCCAAATTTCTTGGCAGAGAAGAGGAAGTGCCTCCTGTGCCGCCTCACTTCCTTGAATGATTTCAATTTTTATTCCATCAATTCCTGGAGCCCTGTTCTTTGCCAATGCCTTTAAGGCACCTTGGACTTCCTCCTTCAGTATCATTGCCTCTTGATCA